AAATAAATATATAATATGTCCTGTTACAACCGTATCATCTCTCGTGAACAATAGAAGGCTAAACAAAAAAATCCTGCCATACGAACTTTGAAATAATTAATCAGATATTAATTTATAAAGATATTCGAATGAGCATGCATCCACATGAACAAAGTTTTAAGTTTTACCTACGTTCATAATTATCAGGCGGTAAGATGTTGGGAAGTAATGTGCAGTATAAACGAATATAGTACCTTATTTATCATACAATGTGTTTGTAAATCTTTACAAAAATTCAATTTAATGCTTAAAATAAGTAATTAACTACTATCTTCCAGTGTTAAATTTTTATATAGAAGTTTCACAGTCAGAAGTATGTTTTTTAAAGTTATCAAATTTCTTAGTTATATCATTGCTAAAAGTGTAATGTAATTAATTATTGAATGATTTAAAATAAAACCTGCTTAAAAAATGATATATTAAAGTAAATATCATTTTAAAGAAAAACATATATTTTACTTTAACTTATTTCATATTATTATTTTATTATATATGAAGCATATCTGAAATATTTTTAAACATCGTTACATTTTATAACATATTAAAACATAAAATTTTATCACCATACTATATTTTTGCGATTTTTACTTAACAAGTAATCTTGACCATAAACAGATAAGCTATCAAATATCGTAAATTTTATTGAATATGCACATATGTATATATATGCATATATGTATGTACGATATGTATGTCAAACACGCACATTGGATATTCGAGTATCAACGAGTATTCTCATTGATTTAGTCACATTTCATATTGCATTATTGCATTGTATTTCAACTATATGATAATATTTAATTATGCTTTTAAACTTTACAAGTATTATAATAATATTAAAAATTATTTACAATATTACGGTTTGTCATAAAATAATGATATTCCTTTTAAAATTAATAAAAACACCAATTTATTATTTGGAGCACAATTTATATATTTACGAGAAAATTTGATTCGTATATTTAAGTTCGTATATAAAATAGTATTATATATAATTTGTTAGTCTATTAATTTTAATTACCATAAATTCTCTAATATATAATTGCTTCGCATGTCAACAGTCTCTTTATTACAGAACTGAAGAATTAAAAATCTTGCCCTATTTGTAATTAACATCAATCATGTTACTCATTGAGTGATCGAATTATAATTGCTTCAGGATTATCAGCGTAGTTAACGAAACGATAACTTTTATGGGTGCGATATTTGTAGTGACATGTGTACAAGGCTGAGATATGCAGTTATATAACTAAGTTTTGGTTTCATTTCTATATACAATATAACAGAGAAGTAACACATAATTATATTAATATAAAAGAAGACATATGTGTATAATTGATATTTTCTACAGTGATTTTCTATTTTTTAAAAATTTAAAAATCAATAATGTTAAAATTCAATAATAACTAATTCTGATATTGAATTTCGTGATCTATTTTATAGAAATTTTATTATAATTGACAATCGTCGATAAATAACGGCGTTAAATCGGTATCAAGAGAAATAAAATATAGATCTCTTTTCTTGGTAGACAGCATAAATTTAATATATTTTATCAAAACAATTCGACCCGTTTGAAGCTTAAACTCAAATTTTACATTATTTAAAATTTTCAGGTCTGTCTTTTTCTATCGCTAAGAAATATTTAGGAAATGCGAATTCATCTCCTTGTGTCAACTATTCTGCTGATTACAATTAAAAAGTGACGAAAAAAATATTTAAATTCCGTTTGAATATCGATCCCTTGTGCGTTATTCAAAATCAATCGTGTGCACGAGGTGGGCTGAAACTACAAAAAATTATGGGCATAAAAGTCCAACATGTAAAAACATGTAAAAATAATAATAATAGCAATATAATTTCCTCCGTTCAACTTCAAACGTTACATGCGCTATATATAAAATATGTAGTATATTCCGTACGTTTTTCACGCGTCGCATCATTCGGTTGAACAAAAAAAAAAAAAAAAATAATTCCGCCCTATTTGGGTTTGATTTCTGGCAAACCAGTGGTACCGTTGGTCTAGCCGTCCGTCGTTCTCCCGCGCGCCCGAAGAAAATGCGCGTGCTCCGCTATCGACCAGGAACCCTAATCCTCCTCCGCGTCCCTCTCGTCTCTTCTCACCCAGAGTCTCGGCCGGCCGTGGCGCCCGCACGCACTCTCGGTTGAATCCGAGCTCGTCGGGGCGCGGCAACGCCTGTCGAAGCATCTCCGTGGAACGTGTGCGGTTTTCCCCTCCGGGGGGGTGCTTCGATGACAGACGGAACGTCATCTGCGGCGCGAAGATGACGAGGAAAAGACCGGCGGATCGGTAGCCGAAGACACCGAAAAACGTCTGCCTCCTCCGAACGAAGACACGAGAAAGACTCGTATGTCCTTGTTCGATGTTCGATGGTCTACATCCGCGTCTCTCCGACGAGAGGATTCTGCATGGAATAAAGGCAGTCGAGGGATATATATATATATATATATATTCAAATTGTCAGTATAGTTAAGATAACTAAATATTAAGAGTGTAACGACAATATCTTACTGCTGCGACTCGAAGTTGAGCTATAAGAAATTTTTACTAATTTCTACTTGGGTGCTGTTACGGTGTCGAAACGGTGAAGTATTCGTGAACATGTATTATGCTCAAGCATATCGCACGTTGCATCTGCGAAATCACACGATGGATATCTGAAAACGGCTGGGAGTTTTATCTCCTCGAGTTCATATGTGCAAGGACGCAAGACTCGACCGAATGTACGTATATCTTATCTCATCTATTCTGCCTGTTAATTATTTATTCTTATTATCCTAATTAACAAATTCAATCGTCCTGAAATTTTCACTGATGTATTTTTATTTAATTTATATTTCGCTTTAACTGTGCAATTTTTTTAGTTTCATAAAAATGAAAAAGAAAAAAATAAAAGAATATTTTATAAAATAATGTGGAATATCTTTTGACAATCTTAATAAGAATATTTTCTTTTATATTTTTATTTACTAAACACTAAAATTCAAAATTGAATTCACGTTGCAATTAAAACAAATAAGATTCTAAAAAATTGTTTATTCTAGATTTGTGTAGAACATTTAAAAATAATAAACAAAATTTTATTTATAAATTACATTAATAGAAAATATTTAA